GCTTGTGGCAGAGAGACCCTGGGTGGATGGAAGTGCTCATCATCTCCAGCCTCGGCAGCACGACCCTCGGTGGATGGAAGTGCTCATCATCTCCAGGCTGTAGGGTAAGAATAATATCCCTTGTCACTCCACAGGCCCTGTTACCAGAGATATTTAGTGCTGAGGCTGGGCTCTGGCGCTAATAGCTGGGATGTGATCATGTTGCTCCCTGCACGAGTGAGCAGGACGTCAATGGCGAGCTGTCAGCCAGCAGCGTGCACCAGGCAGCGTCCCACCCACGGCATGGACTAACACTGCTCCCACATGTACAGCATCCCTCAGCACCTCTGGGCTGCAGAAATCACTCGGGATGGCAGCTGGACGACAGCTTTCTGCATGTGCACATCAAGGGCCGCTGAAGAACCACGCTGGGTGACCCGCTGCACTGGCCAAGGTAGGACCCTCTGCAGTTGATGAATACAACCAGTTCCCAGCCCAGTTACGGGTGTCTCCCCTCCTCCCTGCCCCTCAAGGTCCCCATTGCCTTTGCCTTGCTGCCGCAGGCTGTGAATGACCAGAAGGGACCAAATGGCTCTGTTCACCCCGCTGCACTGAGCTGTGTGGTGAGGAAGGAATTAACACTTCCCAGCACCCTTCCACAGGTCCTTAAACCACTGGACAAGGAGGGGATGTCCCACTTCATGTGTCCCTGGGTTTCCACGCTGCCAGCAGCAGATGTGGGACCAGTGTGACAGCCCCCCACACCCAAGGACTGACCCTCACCAGGTTATATTCCTACTCACCAGTCTCTAAATTATCCCCTACTCACCAGTCTCCAAATTATCCCCTGCCCCCAAGTCCCGTACCCTCAGCAGGGATGCAGCATCCCTGGGGTCTCTGGGACCCCCCAGCATCAGCACAGACCTGGCAGCCAACTTCTGACCAGGGCCCTTCTTCAGACACCCTCTGGGTGCCACAGAGCTACTGTCACCCAGCACGAGAGGCACAACAAGCAGTGACTCCACACCAAGACATGTTTGGGACAACTTTACTTCTGATACCAGAGTGCAGGCTTGCGTTACAGGAACCAAAAAAGATTTTTATTTTTTTTAAATGGTTCATTTACTCTTGCTATTCTTTTTTTTTTCTTTTTTTTTTTACTATTTCATTTAAAAAAAAAAGTTACTCCTGCAAGCCATCACTTGTAATAAATGTAAAAGCCAGTGCACTTTGTTTTTTCCCTTGCAATCACCCCGCTGAAGGTGGGATGTTCTCCCTGCCGCTGCCCTGCGCAGGTGCCTGAGACAGGGATGGGGTGTCCCAGCAGCTCAGCACCCCGAGGCTCTGTCCCAGGGCCCGGGGCAGTGGTGTCCCCCAGCCTGGGGCACAGCCGGGGGTCCCCGATGCTGCACAGCCCCTGCACGCTGGAGTAAGCAGCAGTTTATCTCCCTTGTGGGGGTCAGAGCTGGGAGGCCACCGTGGACACGCTGGGAATCCCCACGGTGCCTCCCAAGAGGCCACTTTGCCCTTGGAGAGTCGTGTCACCGACCCTGCGAGGATGCAGGCGCTGGTGCGACACTCCTGCCCCGGCGGAACGATGCAGAGCAGGGTCACCCTTACAGAGCCACTTCTAAAGTGACAGTGTTGAATTTTTAAATTTACTTTATTTATTCATTTGCTTTTTGTTGCAGGAGCAGTTTTCAGATCAACTGAAAATTCAGTAGTGGGTTTTGTTTTTTTTTATTGAACAGTTGCTCAAGTGAAAGAAGGACCTGAACAATCTTCAGAGTAGAAAGGGGCAGCCTTGCCATGCAAAGAGGAAGAGTTATTGTTTTTATTATTATTACCATTATTATTATTATAATGTAGGACCACAGACAGCCTCTCTGAAGCAGTCAGGTGCTAACAGCAAGATATGGTTGGATTCTTTCTTAGAAGGTCATAAATTAGCAACTTCATCTTTAAAAGTATCAAATAAATAAATAAATTAATTTTAAAAGAAAGAAAGAGAGAGAGAGAGAGAGAGTCACAACGTGCAAGAACTTACAACAGAACAAGTGAAAATTCCCAAAGCAAAAGACAAGAAATGCAGAAGAAAAGCCCAGGTTCGATTTGTTTTGCAATCAATGCAGTTTGGAAGCATCATTTATAAAGGTATTTCATATACCAAAAAAGGCACCACAGGATCTACAAAGCCAAATCCTCAGGAG